AATCGGACTAATCTCATTTTTTTAAATGGGGTAAAAACCGTCTCTAACTTTGAATTGAAGACATGCGTGTTAATTACCATAAGGAAGTGATAAATCAGTGTGGCTTTTCGTCCCCTATAGCGTACTCAAGATTTATTTTGGTGGATTGTGACTAATTAAAAGCCGAAAGTTTCATCAAATTTCAAGTTTCCTTGCAGTGATTGGGTGTATAGATGGTACACACATTGAAATAGTAATCCCAGGTGGATCAAATTCTCATCTGTGGAGCAATAGGAAAGGATGGATGGAAACTTTAAGCTTACAGATAATTGTTATTTGTTAAACAGGCGCTGCTCATTACAGCAGAATTTTGTATAGCAGTCCCCTATGTATGCGATTGGAAAATGGCTGCTTACCAGGGATTTTATTGGGAGATGCTTATGCTGGAGAGTGTCCAGGATAGGTATATCTATACTCCAATAAAAAGCCTAATAAGGCGAGCCGAGCAGCGATATTTTAACACGAAATTATATTTTACGCACATATTTTAACAAGAAATGTTCAACGTTCAACGCGCTTTTGGTGTAGGGAAAGGCCGTTTTAAATGTTTAGCAAAGTGCTTGCAAACGTCATTACGACATACCGTTAGAATTATTGCTGTTACAGCGGTGCTTCAAAATGTTGCCATTGACACCAACCCGGAGATCGATGAAAGTATCATCGGGAGTTATAAGTGAAGTGTTCTTGAATTCGGCCCTCAGTCTAAGCCATGTTTCGCAAAACCAAGACTCTTGCAAAAAGATGATATTGAACCGTATTAACTAATAAAAACTGTAAGTCTTTATTTTCATCAACATAATTCTGGGGACAACATTTCGGCTGTAAGGCAACACGAGCACCTGATTTCGTAAATATGCTGTAAAACTATAACTGTGCCTTCTCACTCAACGAAAAGAACGGTTGCTTTTCTATTTGAATTCTCAAAGCTTGCGATAATATGGTAGCATTTACTTTCTTTGGTCCTAGATTAATTTGTCATTTGCCCTATTCAATTTTGATCACTTTTATCATATTGGTATTTGCGTGCTTGATAAACTAAATTTGTGTCTCCCCGCGACAGATAAATCTGGAATTCTGCTTGCTTCCAATATCGACTGCTTCGGTTTGTGGAAAAGTCAGCCTAATGTTGAATATTGAGTGTCGTCATTAACACCCCAAGCTTCATTTAGACAAATACCTGCGAGACGTGGAGCCCCTTTCCCTCCTATTAGCTATATTATTTGCAATTCAAGATTCTATTTCAAAATCTAAAGAAATTTGCTTCATACGTATTCATCATGCCACTACTCTTAATAACTTACGCAACATCGAACATTTCTGATTTTGACTTCGAAGGAGATATTTGTAGTAATTCTCAAGTAAGGTTGTCTTAATTTACTGAAGGCTGAGAAGGTTTAATTATGAACAGAGGCGTTCATAGGTGGGTAAATGCCATTCAGAACTTTAAACAAAAGAAAATTAGGAAACCAGG